ACCAGCATGACGACTCCAATGCACAGTGCAAAGAGTAGTTGTTCTAAGGAAATATAAATCATGATCAAGAACGAAAAACAACCAACAATAGCAGCATGTAAAACCTGCTGCACGATACGTTATTTAGGGTATCAGCATCAACACCGAGAAAAAATAAACATACTGATGCTGTATATATGCCAGCAGGTGATGTTTCCTACATGGAATACATTGTCCTGGGTGACTGCATAGTCACCAGGAAAAAAATACTCTCTCCAGCACCTGCATTTTGACTCTTCTTCAAGAACAGCAGGTTAACCAGAGGGACGGAATCGTCGCATACTCGGGAAGATGGAGTTTCTATACTGGACCAGGTCAGTCCAGATCGCGGATTTGCAAATTTGCATTAGTACGAAAACCGTGTTGGCTGCTGCTGGGCTGACACATCTATATATACACAACATATATAGCTACATCACTATACATGCTTATTTATCGCCAAATAACCGAACGCACCTGCCCACGTAAAGGCAAATGGCGGAAAAGGAACTCTGTAGCTACGAGAATTTATGTCTCCGAGAGCTGAATTTGACTCGACTCTGTGCGCATGCTCGGGTCCCATATGCGTACTGCGCAGTCTCGGGTCACTTCAGTCACTTGACACTTTTGGGTCGTTTGACGCTATCTCCCGAGGGCATACCAGCCTCCAAAAAATGCCCGAGGCAGGAAAATGCAATTTTGTGCCCTCGGAAAGAAAAAAAAGAAAAACATTATACATATACAATAACCATGCTTTTCGGCCGTTCATGTTTGTACTTTGTGCCCTTGTGACGTATGATGTACTAATAATGACAAAATGAAATTGATTTTCTTAATTTTTGAATTTCTAAGCATCCTCTTTAGCATTTATAAATCATAGAATTATACTCCTTTAATACAGTATATAGCTTGCTATTTTTAAACACAATTAGGATAAAGTCACCAATTTGCTCCGAGGGTTAACAGATATGGATAGGCCACGTGGTACCCCCTTCAAAAAGTGAGGACGCTTTAGCATTGTAATATACAGAGATGATGTGAGAGAAATCGTATGTATGTATATTTTTATTGGAAAAAACATTACTATGTTTGACATAAACATCTAATTATACAAATTTTACTTAATATACAGTTGATATATCATAAAAACCATCCTTTTATTGTAAGAAAGTTAGAATAGATGTACTCGGTGATCGAGAACGGTCCAGACGGTGTCATGTTATTGGTATATCTATATCGAGAATTAGTTACTTTTATTGATATGAAAGTGAGGTCACCTTGTTCATTCATTCACAGTTTCTACATTTTTGCTGTCTTTCACCACTTTTTTTTTAATGGGGAACCTGAAAGAACCTTACTCCACTACTTAACCACAAATTTTTATAATTAACAACGCAAAAGTATGCGTGATGAGGCATTAGAAAAAAAATCCATCCCAACAAGCATTAAGCGTCCTTACTTTTCAAAATCATCTGCCACCATGCAAAGCACTGTCGAACTCATTATCCCCACTACGCCAACCCTTGGAGCGAATAATTAGGCAGATTCTTGTTAGTTTATCTACAGTACTTTGAGCTTATTTTTTATTATTCCAGTTTCATCTTGACACAATATGCACTAGTTCTTAGCAGATTATCTTAAATTTTATGATTGAAACTTCTCGTTTCATATTTTATTAACCGTTTATAATACTTTCTGTAGTATATATACGCAAAACATCCGTTGTAAGTCACACAAATATATAATTTATTTGGTATCTCATCATTATTACTAAAAAATCATAAAAATTATTAATTGACTATATGGAAAAAAAAATTAGCCGAAAGAAAGACGATGAATCATAAAAACTGTTAATTCATTTTCTGGTGATTCTAGGCAAAGGAAGCGGCAGTTTGATTGGTGGCTTCTTGATGAAAGCTTTTGGAACACGAGCTACCTACCTGATATTCGCCGCTGTAACACTGATAACCGGCTTTATCTATTTACTCTTTAATCAATTGTATCTATCTAAGAGATTGCATATCCAGGACAACAATGTCATAAATAAAAATAAGCCAAATAATATTGAAGCGGAGACTAACAAGTCTTCCGAGTCACAGAAGGAGAAGGAAGCCAATGAGGGGATTAGAGAGCAACATTATCCCTACATTGTTGATGATGTTGAAGCTATAAACAATGCAAGGAATCTCGACATAATTGAAACCGTTGTTGAGCAGCAACAGCAGCAGGAAGGGATACATATTAGCAGTGAAGACGGAAATAATCATCCGAGACACAGGCATCATCGAAATAACGGGCATGTCAACGTAGCATTCATAGCTGATAATGAGGATGACTGCCAGGTAATTGTAGAGAAGGCAGGACCAGATAGGAGATGAGGTAACGGGCTGAGTCACATACACACTCAAACGAGGACTGATAAAGCGTGGGTTGCTATTGGTTCTGATACTGTCTCATTTGGGCTGTGCAGACCGTTTTGATTTGAAAATACTCCAATAGGACTATTTTGAAACGCTATATATATAGTTCAATGGACAAAAAATTAAGGCGTTGATTTTGATACTGTTGTTATTGTAATTATGGACGAGCGAAACTTTTTTCCGTTTTTATTTGTTGCATAAATTAAGGTAATGAATCTAAGTCTCTATCTTTTTTAATTTAAACATAAAAAGGTTTAATGGAAATATTTTTTTTTTTAAATAAAGATGGTACACAAAAAATTCTCGTTGTAAACAGTAATTTGCTAGTGGAATTTATCGCTTGTCAAGAAACATTGCGTAACAAAATTGTGTTTTGTTTTTCTTGTAAATAAATCATTATCCGTCAGCGTCTCCTTATAGATGTTAGAAGAATAACAAAGCAAATTAATATCAGACTGTACCTATCATTTTAAAAAATTAATTAATGCGTACAACTGTTTAATAATAAATATACAAACCTGTCGTTCGAAGTTTTTTAATGTTTCTTATTTTATATAACTTTTTGTGCGTGTAAGAAATAAAAGCTTGAAATCACATTTAATAATTGATGTTCACATATAACTATTTTAAGTGTTGAAAAGCATTGACTATTGTATTTTTATTATGAACTGTTAACATGTTTTCTTAGAAAGTTTTCATAAAATAAAAATTAATCAAACCGGGAAAGCTAGTTATTATATGAAAATGTATGATAGAAAGAAAAATTTGTAAATATTAGATAAATAAATTCAAAAAACTATTAGCATCAAGGTTTTTTTTTAACTACAACCATCTCTTTCAAATATTGAATATAATGTTAGGAACAATTTTACTTGATTGTATTATTAAAATGAAGGAGTGCAGTGGCATGTACTTTTTTACTAATGGTATATTTAAGCATATAAAACTATTCTGAACTGTAACTCAACAATTTACATATTCTCCCACATATCTTTTATCTTAATAATATATATATATACAATAATCTCTAAANTCACGATCGCAGTGCTATCGTGCGAGCGTGCGAGCACTGCGATCGTGCGAGTTTTTTCTCTCACTAGCGCCCTCTCAGCATGCGTGAGTGGTGGCACCTACAAGCTTCCGTAACCTATGTATATCCATCATTTACCTGTTACCTATATAGGTAGAAAGCAGCCACTCTGTAGACTGTAGGTACTATATATAGTTGTAGACAGCGCTGAGACTTAAGCCCTGTTCACACGTAACAGAATGACGAATGACGAATTCATAAGGCCGAAATCACAAGTAGACAAAGGACAAATGAACCTCTCTCTCATTCTCATGATGAGGTCTTCATTCGTCGTTCGTTATTCGTCAGCTTTATTCATCCATGTGTGATGTCGGAGAGTGTAAAAGAAGAGAGTGGCAAATCTGAATATTTTTTCTCACCTACTGATCTTTCATAGAAATTGTAGCTTATAACAACAGAATCATTTAATTTACACATCAGCATGCAAAGTGAATTAAAAAAATTTTTCAAAAGTTATTCTATATTATGTTATCATATTGATGTTTTTTAAAAAACTACTTAATTATGTAAAATCATCGTCGATCTTGAAAAAAAAATTTGATATTACATATAAATGCTTATTAAATCTTGTTTGATTCACGATGATAACTACTTATAAAATCTTATAAAAGTTTCCAGAACCGAGTGTTACGAAATTTGTTACAGAATTAGTTGATATAAATTCTTGTAAAAGTTGTAACTATTTAAACTTATATATATTGCTTCGAAAACCCTAAATAAAGTTAAAGCATTAGAAAAATTATTTAAACCGAAATATAGTTTAACATTTAAATAAGGAGTAATACTCATAAGACCCCTTATAGTTTGTTGTGTCCTTAAAAAATTTTTAAAAAGTAACAATTTTGTCTGTATTCTTTCCTATAGGTTTAAATTTTATTAGAAGATACATATGTATTCAGATAAATTTTTAGGAACTTTGCACCAGAAATTCCAAGATAAATCTAATTCATCTTGAAACTTCATTTGTCTGTAAAATCTTATTAAATCTCATTAATTGTTTACTCAGTGAAACACCATAAGTTACATAAAAAATTTTTAATAAGAAAAAACTGTATTGAACATATAAAATTTATTACAGAAAAAACATGTTAATTCTTGAATGTATGTTCATTTATAAGTTACAACCAGCACGTATTCAATCAGTTAAAATTTATTGTTAATAATACCAATAAAATCTGAATGAATACTGTATTTTAGTTTACCTCATAGAATCGTTTAAATATTTAATTGGATCTTTCTCTTACATTCTCATATATGTTAAGTGTCTATTTGAAAACTAATAATGAGAATTTACAAGTCTACTGTACTATTCTCGTTTTTACCAGTTGTTGAAGCTTTTATGTTCGAACCGGATTTTATAAGTTAGTTACCACTTTTTTTCATACATTTATTTCAGAATTTACTTGATATTTTTCTATTAATGGAAATTTACAAGTCTACTGTACTACTCTCGTTTTTACCAGTTTTTGAAGCTCTTATGTTCGAACCAGATTTTATAAGTTAGTTAACTTTTTTTTGTGAAAGTCGATCTTCAGTTTCTTTCAGCCTTTTGGTTTCTTTGTCTTCCCTGTCAATTTTTTTGCCGTGATGTGATACCTCCAGCTCTGATGCAGATTCAAGATGTTTGACAGGTACACAACGAATGCATTTTGAAACTTTTAAACTTTCTAGTTCGGTTTCACTCTCTATAAAAATTTTATTCCGATAAAACAACTTTTTTTAAATAGATGAGACAGTTGACATATTTATGTACATAATTAACTTCACTAACTACAGTATACCTGCTGACAAAATTATCTGCACTTCGTGGTTGATATCTCCGGAGATCATATACTTTTTACACGTGTTGACAGGTAAAGTGAAATTCGGAAGTAGAGCACTGTCAATCGTATCGTAAGACAAATCCCCATCGCAATACTTAATGTATAGCCACATCTCAGAAGACCAAACACTGATAGATAATAGTTACTTATATTATGACGCTGGGACGAATTTTACACGGACCGGCACGTAAACGTACGAGCTCAACGTGTGACCGCAAGCACGTGCTTATGCGCTATGAGAGTAGAGTTGAACAGTGTACCTATTACGGAAGCTTGTAGGTGCCACCACTCACGCATGATGAGAGGGCGCTAGTGAGAGAAAAAACTCGCACGATTGCAGTGCTTGCACGCTCGCACGATAGCACTGCGATCGTGAGCGTAATCACGGGTGGTCGGATTGAAAATTGGTAGGTACTGTGGTGGTTCGATTGCAGTAAAGAACTCGTGCGACCTGCAGCTCTGGCGTATACTGCACAACATTTGCTGCAAGTAAGGACGTGAATATAGGATACATCTTCTCTGAGGCAGGGTCTTAGTGTACCTCCATCTTCACTGACAACGTGGCGCACCATAACCTGCACCATAACCTCAATTAAGTGCAAGAAATTAATTTTTCATCATTATAGTGGAACAGTGTACAGCAAGTGTTATGTAAACTGTAAGCAACAAATCGACCTTATGGAAGTAATTGTTGAGAAACTAT